GCTATGTATAGCTCTACAAAAATGGCATCACATTTTACATACTGCCCTGCAACAACATGCTTTTCTAACTGAACAGTCGGTTGAGAGAATCTTTCCATGCCATTGCAGATGGAGGTGGGGAAGATGGGTCTCCTCCCACAGCTGCAGTGTTTCATTGTGGGGAATGTGCTATTCAGTTAACTGGTCCCATGTTAATGAACAGTTAATTTCAACACTTCATTGGCATAAACAGTACTGTGGAGCACCCCTTCTTGCATATCTTTGTGTGCTTTTGTGACTATTTGTGTAGAATGAGTTAGTAAAAGTGGAATATATTGAGCTGAAGTGGTAATTTAATCAGTTAATGGCTCACGGGGCAAGTGAGTTGGAAAGAGAGAGACCAGTTAGGAGGCTGTTAAGAGAGCTGAAGCTCAGGGCCAGCGCTGTGGTGTAGCGGGTAAAGCCGTCGCCTACAGTGCCAGCATCCCATATGGGCGCTGGTTTGAGTTCCGGCTGCTCCACTTCCGATCCCGCTCTCTGTTATGGCCTGGGAAAGCAGTAGAAGATGGCCCAAGTCCTTGGGCCCCTGCACCTGCATGGGAGACCCAGAAGAAGCGCCTGGCTCCTGGCACAGCTGTAGCCATTGCAGCCAATTAGGGAGTGAACCAGCAGATGGAAGACCACCCCCCCTCCCGCCTCTCCTTCTCTGTGTAAGTCTTTCAAAGAAGTAAATAAATGTATTTATCATAAAAAAAAAAAGATAGCTGAAGCTCGAGGTAGTTCTGGTGGTTGGCTGTGACCATAAACAAGAAGGGAAAAGATGTAGGATCTAAGACATATCAAGGACAAAAGAGTTTCTAAAACCTGGCATCTAATGAGAGAGAGAAGTCAGTGAGATCTCAGAAGGTGTTGAGTGCAGGTGGCTGGAAATTTTGCAGTGAAAACCAGAAGCAGCTGTTCAGGGGACGTGGAGCTGGCGATAGGGTTTGCCTGGGACCGTGTAGAATTCAAGGAGCCTTCTCCTCTTCCAGGCAGTGATGTCCAGAATGCGGATATATGCAGGTCTTGCTCTGGTCAGAATTAAGGGCTATAGACCTGCGTGTAGGACCTGAGTATAGGGTTGGTCCTGAGGCTATGTGAGGGAATGAAATCACCAAGAAGGAGGATGGAGGTGGGGAGAGAGAGGGAGAGAAAGGGAGCGCGCCCAGGGAGCACTAAGACAGAGGTCAGAGAGGTAGCAGACCCATCAGAATTCAGGATCACAGACCTCCAAGAAGGAGGGGTGAGAAGTGATGCCAGTTCAGAGGATGAAATACTCAGTAGCCTAAGTTAGTCCCCCTCCCTGCTGGCCCCAACATGAGTTTTGTCATTCCATCTTTCACTTGCTTTTCCAAGCCCTTAACACGTTTGTGACTAATCAGTGTGATCATCTGTTTTGTGTCAGCCTTCCCATCGGGACCATGAGCCCACAGAGGAGGGACCGTGCCACTCTTGTGCCCCAGCTTCAGACACATTTTGGCCCACAATGGCCTTGGTCCCCCAGGACACTGCTGCCTCTGGCAGGGCTCCAGCTGGCCATACATTCTGCCTCTTCCTCCAGCCCCCGCCTCCCTCACTCCCACATATACTCTGCACAAGTGAAAAGAGAAGGGACTTGGGGCTCTGTAGGAGAAAATAGAAGCTGCACAGTTTGAATTTTGGGTGCAGAAAGTATGAATAGGTAGTGAAAAAAAGGTCATCTCAACTTATTATTATAGTTAGAGTGGCCAGCCTTGAGGGCAGTCTCGCTGCCCTTATTAATAAAGGACTCAAGCCCCAAGTCTCTAGAAGGGAGTCCCAAGAACCCTGCTGGAGGGGCCTCTCACCTGCCCCACCCCTGTGCTTGGAAGGGACGACCCTTTCTCCGTGCCTGCATCCTCCACACCACAGCCCTGGCACCCCCATGTCCCATGGCAGGAATGGTGTTTCCTTGGAGATACTGGAACCCCACCTGTGCGAAGGCTTTTGACCTTTGACTTACTTAGGGTGCCAGCCTAAGTCAGGCTTCTGCAAAGCAGACCCTGAGATGGAGTTGGGGTTCATGTGATATATGAAGGAAGTGCCTGCAGGGGAGACTGGGGGTGGGGTGGGAAACGAGAGGCAGAAGGTGAGAGTGAGGGGTGTTCCTGGGCACATCCCCCAGAGGGTGGCCCTAGAGTGGTAGAAAGAGGCAGAAGACAGAGGTGGCCCAGGCAAAGCCTGGAGAGGACAACTGGGGGAGAGGAGGGGAAAGAACTGAAGAGGTCAGCGTGGGCCAGGAGGAGGAGGAGGAGGAGGAGGATCAGGATTCCTTCCCTTCTGAGGGAGGAAGGGGCCAAGGGACAGATTGGGAGGTCTGAGGTTGGAGCAGTGTAGAACAGAGGCAGAGCAAAGCAAAGAGAACTTATCTCTTCAACCAGGTAGGAGAAAAGTCATCTGCCTGGATGGATGGATTAAGGGGTTGGAGGTGGGAAGCATTGGAACAGTTACTGTGGGGACCAGGAGTCAGCAGAGGTGACCAGCGGATGGGCACGGGGGCCGAGGTTAGACAGTGAGCATTGTTGGTGTGGTTGGGCACAGTCCTGGTCCCCAGGTTGGAGAAGCTGGCATGTCAGGAGACGCGTGTGTCCCTGAGGGCATTAGCAAGGCGGTTGGTGAGGGCAGATTTGGGGAGCATCAGGTCTTTCTCTATAGTGGCTGTCACTCCTTTTGTTTAGCACCTACTGTGTGCCAGGCACTGTGCTAAACGCCCTTTCAGCAGCTCCGTGGGAAGGTGTCACCCATCCTGCCCGAGGTCCCGCTGTCTGGTTGCCCAGCCAGGAGAGACATTACCTGGGAAGTCCAGCTGGGAAGCCAGGCTCACCTGCGTGTAGAGTCAGGGCCGCTGCACGGCCCCTGGGGGCCTGGAGGTGCAGAATGCCACACAGGTGTGAAGTGTATCCCTCCAGCCTCCTCCGCAGCCCCTGGGGACTGAGCTGTTTGTCATGCTTTGCTCCCCACTCTTCCGGGAGAAATGTGTCAGCCCTGTGGGTGGAGACGCCGGTGTACAGCTCTGACACAGGACGCTGCAGCGGGTCAGAAACCCAGGCAGGTGTCTGCAGCCTGCCCCACGTCGGGGCTCCGTGTCCCCCGTGTTGTGGGGGGGTTTGTCCCTGTGCATGTGACTGGACCTGTGTGTGCACACGCATGTGTGGAGGGACAGCTTCCTGGGCCAGGTGAACCCGTGTTTCTGAACAGGTGTGTGTTTCCAGGTCTTTCTCTGTCCCTGTCCCTGCTGTGCACAGAAAATCACAGTAATAGCGTCGGGGCGGGGTGCAGCTGCAGCAGCAAGTCCGAGAAGGAACAAATGGCAGAATGGAGTGGCGACAGGGGCACGCGCGCTCTCCCACGTGTTCAGAGGCACACAGGGTGCCACACACACAAATGCCGCATGGCAATTCTCTCGGGCCTTCCTGTGTGTCGGGGGGGGGGCATCTGGTTCTTGCAGAGGTGTGACTGTGTGAGTGTCTGGCACACGTTTGGATGCACGCACCTGGTTACCCGCAGAAACATACAGAATGGCAGGTATGAGACCTGCTAGTGCAGGAGTGGGGACACTAACGTGTACTGCCACACTGTGTCTTCGCGTGGATATTCCTGTGTGTGTGTTTCTGTCTCCACACACGTGTGCAAGTGCATGTGTGCGTGTGAACCTTCGAGTCAGGGAGGACTGTGACACTATCCTCCCTGGGAGTGAGGGGAAGGCCTGGCACACAGACCCAACTCCCCGTCTTCTTGCTGGAGCACACCTGGCAGAAGTGGGGTGGGGGTGGTGGGAGGCTTGAGTGGGGCTGCTTTCCCCACTGGGTCATTTGGTGACATTGAAGCAGTCCCTGAGGTATACCAGGCCACCCTAGACTTTGTGGGGTCAAGGGAAAGACTCCTCCCTTTACAAAGCCCGCAGTCCCATTGGGTGGGATATGCAAAGCCTGGCTCACCGGGCTATGGGCAGTGAGCCGACAAGTCCTTTACCTCTCTGTGTCTCTTGTTGGCACTAAGCGAGGGGGACAGTGGCACCCACTCCTGGGTGGCTGGGAGGGTTGGGACTGTTCTGGGGGCGGACACTCGTCTATTGCAGTTACTAACTGAGCATCTAAGGAGGCTCCCCTGGTCTGCTGCTGACACTTCAACAGTGAACAAAAATCTGTGTCCCCATGGAGTTGATGTGCCTTCGGCATGGAGGAAGCCGGCCAGCACCGCATGCTGTGTTGGGATGATAAAGGATGCTGTGTTGGGATGACAAGGAAAACGGGGCCTGAGGGTGGAGGGGCAGGAGGTGAGCAGGGCCAGGAGTGGGCAGGAAGGCCCGGGTAAGGTGGAGTGGTCCGGACAGGCAGGAGAGGTGGCTGTTTCAGCAGGGCCAGGGGTGGGTAAGATGGCGTCCGTCCACAGGATGGAAGCCCCTGGGAGGGATTCAGCAATGCTTGGAGCTGTTGTTGACCGCCACAGCTGCCCTGAGCTGTGCTACCGGTGTCCAGTGGCTGGAAGCCAGGGACACTGGGAGACTGCGCTGCCCCGGATGGCCCCCAGCAAGCGAGTGTGCCTGCCAACGTGCCCTTTGTGCTGAGGTTGAGACGCTCTGGTCTAAATCCACGCAGAGCCTTTGACAGTCTGACACGTAGTGGGTGCTTGATGAATAGAGGCCGAAGAGGGGGAGAAATGATTTGGAGGAGGGTGTAGGGGAGCATGAAGTCACAGGTGGAGAAAGAGTGCTTGTGAAGGAATCCACCTTTAACCAAACGCGTATGGTGCTGGTTATCTGGTGGGTGTGGATGGCAGGACTGCCCCGGGGGACAGGGGTGCCGAGGGTGCAGCCCGTAATTTGGGGTGGGGAGGTGGGTGGGCTCAGGAGGGGACCGAAGCTGGACCGTCGCCTACCACGGAAATGCTAAGCCGATGACTTGTCTCTCTGTCCCCCTGCCACGTCTCTTTCCTCAATCTCTCTCGGCCTCTTTGCCCCACAGGGGACAGCCGGAGGCTGAAGGGGGCCATCCAGAGGAGCACAGAGACAGGCCTGGCTGTGGAGATGCCCAGCCGGACGCTGCGCCAGGCCAGCCACGAGTCCATCGAGGAGAGCATGAACAGCTATGGCTCGGAGGGCAAGTGAGTATGCGGCCCGCACCTGCCCCTCAGCCTCCTGGCTCTTGCTGGCTTCTTGGTGCAGGGATGGGGGAGCTGTACCGCCCCAACCCCTAGGAGCCCTGGGGCAGCCCTGGCTGGCAGGGGCGTTGGCTCAGGGCCCCTAAACCGTGCCCATCTTGAGAAGCGTGGCAGGGAGGCAGCTGGGTATCTCAGCGTCTTCGTGGTTTCTGCTTTACTTGCTTTGTTTCCGAGGTCCCAGCCAGTTCTCAGACGTATACATCACAGCTTTGAAGCCACAGCCTGCCCCTCCAGCCCCAGAACCTGAGCGCTGCCTGACTCCTCCCAGCATCTCCCTGGCTGCAGCCACAGCCCAGGGCAGCTCGTGACAAATGCAGACTAAGGGCCCTGCCTCCAGGCTGCTGAATGAGCCCCTCCAAGTAGAGCTCATGTTTGAAAGCTGTCCAGTCATCTAAACTAGGCATTTTTCATTTTTATGGACACCCTTGAGAATTTAGGGGAAGTTGTGAGTCCAAGTTCCCCCAATAAACACTCACAAACATGCACACCCTAATCATGCATACACGTTCTCACACACACAGCTACGCAAACTCTCTTCTCCTAACACCAGCGGTGCCCAGATTCCCCTAAAATGCACCTGTGGGTCCCTGGAAACAAAACTTTGATCTGAAGCAATTTCCTTATTGTTCAGAGAAGTTAAGGAACTTGCCCTGAGTCACACAGCGTGGCCTGGTGTGGGACCCAGCAGTCCTGACCCAGCCGAGGCATAGTCCACGGCTTCACATCACTTCAGGGTCCCAGCAATCCTCAGAGGCGGGGGTGGGTGGGAGGTCATGATCCTTGTCACACGCATGTGGAGGCCAAGCCTTGGAAAGTTAAGTATCACACTGTCCGATGCAGTATTTAAATGGAAACTGATGAAAACTGAGTAAGGTCACATACTGTGTGGCTCTGTCACACTAGCCACATTTCAGGTGCTTGGAGGTTCATGGCTAGTGGCGACCACCCTGGATGGCACAGAAAACAGAAGCCATCCGTCATCACAGACAGTTGCATCGGGCAGCACTGGCTAAGGGGCTTGTCCAGGGCGGCCACCAGCCTGTGCAGGCTGGGCCTGGGTCCTGCTCCCTCCCCTTGCTCTCCTCATTTCTGGCCCTGCCTCCCAGCCGGGCGCTCCTGCTGGCTGCAAGCCGCATCCACCCCCAGCCCCTCCTAAGCTGAGCATCTCCGGCCTCCTGGATGGCCTTGCTTGGCAGATGCTGCGGTTCCGCCCGACTCCTAGTGAGACTTTCCGGTGGGTGAGAAGAGGAGGAGCACAGGCGGAAGGGAGGGGAGGAGGAGGAGGAGGAGGAAGGGAGCCAGTGTTTTCTTTTTAGATTTATTTATTTATTTGAAAGGCAGAACAGCAGAGAGAAGATTTTCTGTTCGCTGATTCACTCCCCAGATGCCTGTGACAGGGCTGGGCCAGGCCAAAGCCAGGAGCCAGGAGCTCCATCCAGGTCTCCCATGTGGGTGGCAGGGGCCCCAGCACTTGGACCATCTTCTGCTGCCTTCCCAGGCGCATCAGCAGGGAACCGGATCGGAAGTAAAGGAGCCGGAACTTGAACAAGCGCCCATGTGGGATGCCAGCATTGCAGGCAGTGGCTTAAGCTGCCGCGCCACTGCACCAGCCCCTCTTGTGTGTTTCTTAGTGTGGCTTTGGGGAAGCTACTTCCCTGCTCCGGGCCTAGTTTTTCCGTTCGCAGACAGGGCTGGTGATCACGGAGACCACTCATGCAGCTGTGAGCCTGGACTGAACGGATGAGCATCCCTCACCCACAGATCCAAATCTGAAAGGCAGCAGAATCGGAAGCTTTTTGAGGGTCCCTAGGATGCCACCAGTGGAAAATTCCACACCTGACCTCATGTGACAGGGCAGAGTGTGCAGGCGCACAGAAAATCCCGTGTAAAATGACCCTCAGCCTATGTGTATGAGGTGTCTGTGTATGAAGCGTAAATGAAGTTCCTGTCTAGTCTTGGGTCCCATCCCCAGGTCGCCTCGCTGTGTACATGCAGATGCTGCACAATCCAGAGCCCCCTGATATCTGAAACTTCCCTTCTGGCATCCTGTGTATGGAAGGGCTCTCAGGACAGTGTCGTTGACTATTATTATCTTGTCTGTTGTGATTCAAGCCACTGTCAGTTGGGTATTTTGTTGCTTGCAATCAATTCCATTCTGACAGCTACAGTGAGCCACCCAGATACAGTTGTATCTATTAAGTGCTTAGCGGGGAAGTACTGAATCAATGCTGGCTGTGATGGTGCGGAGTCTGGAAAGACTTGCAGCCAGTGTTTTGAGCCAAACTGAGGAAGGAGCCCAGGGTCTGGAGGATGCTGAGGCTAGCCGTGTTGTGTGGAGGGGCCTTCTTACCTTCCTGAGCAGGGCTGAGTCTTGCTGGAGCCCAGCCAGCTGCTGCCACCAGCCCAGCATCTGGACAGGGAATGGACTCGAAAGGATAGGTGTTAGGGACCTTGAGCCGTGGCCAGCCGCCTCCTTGCTCTGCAGGTATTTGGGGCACTGATTGGATCCCGATGCCACTTCGGAAATGGGAAGGGGTGTGCCTGTTGCCCCCTCTCCCCTACCCTGAGCTTCTGCCAGCCCGGCTTGAACAGCCCCTGCAAGGCTGCAGCCCTTGGTGCTGCTGGGTCTGTCCGTCCAGGCACTGACTCGCTGGCTTGTGCCCCGTTGCGAGTGGACACAGAGGTGCCCCCACATAGATGTCCATTCCAGTACGTGTGCTTGAGTACCTCCAGGGTGCCAGGTGGTTGGGCTGGGCACCTTGGAGGCCCTGCCCTCCATGAACTTCCCCTCCAGGGCACTGACCAAGCGACTTGCAGCACGGTGAGAGATGTGAAAGACTGGAGATGCCACGCACCCAGCAGGGTCCCAGGTGCAGAAGGAGTGCATGTGGGTTGGACCAGTGTGTCAGTGAGGATGCCTGCAGGTTACATAATACCCACAGTCCGTGGCTTCAAGACTTGGCCTCAAAGGATGGTCCACAGTCCAGCAGCCTTGGCATACCTCGAGAGCTTGTTAGAATCGCAGTCTCGGGCTCTCTCCCAGACCATTTGCATCTTAACAAGATCCCCACATGGTGTGTGTGTGCACTGAGGTCATAATGACCAGCTAACACCTGTGGAGGACACTAAGTGCAGGCACTGAGCCAAGAGCTTTTGCCTGTATCAGCTCTTTAGTTCTAAACCTGACGGGGGTAGTGTTCATCTCCCCATTTTACAGATGAGGAAATAGAAGCCCAGAGAGAGCAAGTGATTTGCTTGAGGTCACACAGCCAGTAAGTGGCCAAGGTGGGATTCAAGTCCAGGCGCTTGGAGTCTGCCCTTCCTTCTGGTGTCAGTCGTATCCAGCAAGATGTCTGGAGACGGACTTCCGGGATGGTTCGTGGTTAGATGATGCCATCCAGGACCCAGAGTCTCTCTGTCTTTTCCCCCTGCCAGCCTCATCCTGTTTGGTAGGTCCTGTTTATCCTGAGCCTGGGGAAGGGCTTCTGTATGTCAAGCATAGAGGGGCATCCAGGCAAGCTGCCATGGCAACAGAGCAGGCCTATCTCGCTCAAGTCCCTTGAGAAAGGACTTGGAAACAGGAGCTCCCCGGTCACACACACTCTCACCCCCAATCCTGAGATGCTCCCTGGTGACCGCCTTAACTGGGGTTTGCCCAGAACCATTTTGAGCGCAGGCCATTCCCTCGGGAGATGATTCCAGAACATAAGGACAGGAGTGTGTGAGAGGGCAGGGGAGGCGTCCGGTACAGCACCAAGCCAGCCATTCGTGTGGGCAGACAGAGCTTCATCCTGACGGGCGCTCAGGAGCCCAAGGGTCATCCTCCGAGGAGGTGGGAGCTGGGTGTTTACACCTCAGCTCTCTTAGGTTCCTGGCTGGTGCCTGCTCCCCACTAACTGTCTGGCTCATTCTGAAGTGCAGTGAGCTCCGGAGGCCACAGAAGTTCTTTAGGGGCCAGAGAAACCAAGGCACAGGGATGCAGATGCTGGCAGGTGGAAGTCAGCGAGCACTGATCCGGTCGGTGATGACGGCGGTGGTGGTGGTGTGTGTGGGGAGCAGGCTGGAATGGACTGTCTGCGTACCAGAAACCTCGGGCTTCTTCCAGTTGGTTCTCCTCTCTCATGTTATGTTATTTTATTTATTTAGTTACAGAGAGAGGTAGACACAGAGAGAGAGAGAGGTCTTCCACCCGCTGGTTCACTCCCCAGATGGCCACAACAGCCAGAGCTGTGCTGATCCAAAGACAGGAACCAGGAGCTTCTTCCAGGTCTCCCACAGGGTACAGGGGCCCAGGGACTTGGGCCATCTTCTACTGCTTTCCCAGGCCATGGCAGAGAGCTGGATTGGAAGAAGAGCAGCCAGGACTAGAACCAGTGCCCATATGGGATGCCAGCGCTTCAGGCCAGAGCTTTAACCCGCTGTGCCACAGCGCCGGCCCCGCCATTTTGTTCTTAATTATCGCTCTTGAATCTGGTGGGTGTTGTGGGCACAACAGGTTAAGCTGTGGACATTCTCTATCAGAGTGACTGGGGTTGAATTCTGCCTAAGCTTCCAGTCCAGCTTCCTACTAATGTGCACCCTGGGAGGCAGCCGGGGATCGCCCAAGTATCCATGTGGGAGACCCGAATGGAGTTCCTGGCTCCTGGCTAGCCCTGCCCCGCTGTTGTGGGCACTTAGGGCGTAAACTAGTGTATGGAAGACTGATCTCTCTCTCTCTGTCTCTCTCTTTCTCCCCCCACTCTCTCCCTCCACCTTTCAAATAAATAAAAATAAAATAATTATATTCATTTTGAAGACTTACCAGTTGAATCCCTCTGGTTCCCTCCGGCCTCACGCCCCGAGGGAGGCCACTCATCTGTCGTGCAGGGTCCCCTCGCTGGGATGCCCAGAAGTCTCCGCTCTGATCCGAGCTCCGTCGTCTGTCCCTCAGCACTCACTTCCTC